AAAGTCAGTCCAATATATGAGCTACAAATGATTACTGGACTAAGATGCTGAATACGACAATGGTTCCTCATTTTTTCTAGGCATCTTTTTGATTTATAAACCTACAACACAGGAGAAATACTATAACTAGCTACTGTTACAAACCACTTGTAAATCTACAATGTTATAATAGAAATCAGAGCCAAAAATGAAGTCATATGCTAGTCAGAAACACGGACCAAATGGCATGCATCATCATATTTCTATTATTATTGTTTTGTTTATAGTGGCAGTAGACTGACAACCAAGACATGATAAAGAATTTAGAAAGTTGCTTAAAGCACAAACATAAAAAGATGCATTACCCTGTCAAGTAAATTAAAACAAATAACCAAACTACACATTATTCTAAAATATTTTAAAATCTAAAGATGGTAAAATCAATTCATTTTGCTCTTCAACTGTAAATTCAATTCTAACTAATTAAACACTTTTAAAATTATTATTAGCTAAGCATTGTGCAACCCTTATATAAACACCCGTTTCTTCATAATGACAACCATTGAAAAAACAGTTTAGTAATACATTCTAATTCAATAAAAACATTTTTTTCTGTATTTCCTAATAACATCAAAATTTTGGAAAATTAATAATCTATTTTAACTATGTGTGTAAGTGGTAATCAAATCTTTTTAGTGTTACATTCAAAATTTGAAGAAAGTATACATATATTTAATGAAAATTTTTATTTTTTCATGCAGAAAGTATAGCACTTAAAAAGCTTATACCATGTATCTAGGTTTTTGGTTAAAAATGTGATAACACTAGCCATCGTCAGGTCAAAAATCTAAACAATGCATTTCAAACAAAATTCTCTTTGCTACTTTTTTGTAATTAGACAAGATTTAATGGAATAAAATCAGTACTGGTTACTAGCTGCCTCTGAAACACGGAAATTCCGCAAGCCACGTTACTGAACAAGTGAGTTTTTTACTTACTGTTTCTGTGTTAATATACCAAATGTAAGGGCATGATTATTATTTCACCTCTAACACATTAAAATGTGAAACATTAAATTTAATTTTATACTAACTGAAAAGAAACTTTTGCTTTTTTCCAGCTTGCCAGTGCTCAAGATGATGTCCAATACTAATCTGTACCGATTGTTAAAGAGTGACCTAGAAAAAATGAGGAACCATTGTCGTATTCAGCATCTTAGTCCAGTAATCATTTGTAGCTCATATAGTGGACTGACTTGAACCTTTAGAAATATTCTGTGTTATGCTCTATAATGGTTTTAAAAGTAACTCTTATAACGTGCATATTCGAAGTCACTCGCAACTTTTCTTTAAGGAAGTTGCACAAGGAAAAGATTTATTTTCCAGGGATTGAAGCTTTAAATGTAGAAAAATTATATGTAATGAAGCTTTGTCGGGCACAATGGATATTTTATGAATGAAACTGCAAGTGGTTGGAACCTGGTGTAATACATCACAGAAAAATAAATTCAAAGTTAGCGTGACACTATTTTCTCTTAGCTGAAAATACATTTTGTAATGAAAATTGGTTTTGTGATATTTGGGTTTGATGAAACTAGTCGAGCATTGAGTTATGAATCTTTTTGATTTATAAACCTATAACACAGGAGAAATACTATAACTAGCTACTGTTACAAACCACTTGTAAATCTACAATGTTATAATAGAAATCAGAGCCAAAAATGAAGTCATATCTTTTTGATTTATAAACCTAATTTAGGGCAATATACATATGGTAACTTTGAATTTATTTTTCTCTGACAAGTTACACCAGGTTCCATACAAACTTTGTGTAAGTCATTTCAGTTCAAACCATAAAATAGTCTATATGCCCATGTTTCATTATATTTAATTTTTCTATATTTTATGAAATCGTGGTCTAAACAAAATTTTGAAAATTACACAACTAAAATGTAAGAAAAAGTAAATTTAATTATTTGAAATTCAAAACTGTACTATTTATTTAGCTTATTTGGAATATAATGGAATTTAAGTATTTGCACTATGAGAAAATCATGGGATATCAGCAACACCCTTCTCATCCAAAATAAAAAGTTAAGTGGGTCTAAGTGTTGATAAAAAAGAATACTTGCACATTATTTCTTGACTCAGTAAAAGTAATTTACTTTTTCAAATTTCATTTATCAATGTCAGGATTTTGCATTACAATTGTTGTAATAAGTAACAGTCATGTAGAATAGCATCAAAACTTAGAATATTCTATTTTTATGCCTTTGAAATATAAACTTTGTTACACAACTTAGTTTTTTTTTACATCATTCCACACCTACCTCTAAAACTGAACTTCCTGCTAAGTTTTATTGTAATCGTGGATGTTATCTCTCACCAGTAGGGGAATGTCAAAAAATAAAAGTGTAACTTTAACAATTCCATCCATTTACTATAAAGCTACCAAGTTTTTACTGCTCATTATCTATTGTTCTGGGTCTTTTTATTTAAAAGTACCTGAGAGATAACAAATGTATGAGTTTTGTAAGTTTGTGGTGTAGATGTGAAGAAATAAGATCTTTCAATTTTATTACACATAAAATAAAAAATATGAGCCTTTAGTAATAGCAGTTTGTTAATTTCTCATGAGGTTAGGCAAGGGCTATCTGCTTCTAGCCATCCATAATTTTGAAGTAATAGATTAGAAGAAAGGCAGCTAGTCAACATAATTCATTACTATCTTTTGTCAGACTTAATAGTAGTATTTGAACATCACTCTTACATTGCAACCATGCATCCAAAGTGCTGAACTTTTTCTTTAGTGGTATTGGGATACAAACCAGTTTGTTATGCTAACCACTAAGATGTGCTTGCCCTAGTGTTTACGAGTGAATTACCTATCTGTCAAAAACAAATTAAACATAAATTTATTAGTGAATAAGGAAAGTGACAATGGTAAAAAAACTTTAGATCACACCAAACTAAAACTGCTGGATATTGAATAACAAATGTATTTAACTTTTTCAAACTTCATAAGACAATATGTTTGATACTTTTCACTATGATATTGGACCAGCTTATCTCTTTTTGGTTGTATTCATGGTTACTGATGAAGAGTGGAATTCCCCAATACTAGTAAATCCCAATAACACATTGATCAAAGTGTAGATTGAACTGGATCTCCCTTGAACTTGCATCTAGACTAAACAATTTTTGGAATACTAAGTTATTTACTATTTCACAATAGCTAGTTGTAGGGATATTACTTCATAGCAAGTAGTTGAACCTAACCTATCAAAATTCATACGTGATGTTAGTAGATTTTAGATTAAAATAATATAAATAACAATTACTTTATAGAATGCAAGTCATCCAAATGTTTGAGTTCAAGCTAACCATGATTAAAGTACCATTAAAATCAAAAATTGACTGAAGCTTTTATTTTGTTTATAAATATATGCTACGGCATTTTTTTCGACAATATTGGTGTCTATGTCATTCTTTCATTTCATGAAACAACATATATACAAATACACTTTTAACCAATTTATTTCTCTGTGTTGTCACGGCTTTCCGCCATTACAAATCAAGATATATATATATATATTTTATTTCTTGGTCTTCTCAGATTTCTTGGCTTTAACTTTCTTAGCCTTGGGTTTCTTGGCTTGTTGGTGTCTGGTGGGCTTTTCTGGGATTTCAATCTGAAATTTAAAAATAAAATCTTTATTTCTAATCAATTAAAAAATTATGCATATTCCACTGTTTCATATGGATTTAAAAAAAGAGACTCCTCCTACCTAGTTAATCGTGAAGACAAACAGAAGCAACTAAAGCTCAAATTGGAAAATTGTTTTAAACAGAAGTTACTATTACAAATTTATTAAACTTAAAAAAAATGATATAAATATACCTTTGTCTAAATAAAAATACTTCTATACTGTGTAACTGTTCTTATTTGTTTCTTGCATTTCAGAGCAATGAAATACCATGTTACAGTTTTCCCAGTGATGTTCAAGTTTTTTTCTTCAAAATGTATCATTTCACACATACCCCTCTTTTCTTTGCAAGTATAGCAGCCTTCATCTTTTTTCTTTTTTCTGCATTCAGAATAGTATTCCTTCTGGTAACAGCAGCGTATGGATTGAGTCGCAACATCACTCTAATGTTCTTGAGTGGATTCTTCTTCAACTTACGGCGTTCAATAGCACGACTATAACAAGAAAAAATTACTTTCATAAATGCTATCAACTTTGTTAAATTATAAAAAAACAAACAACTTTACACGTGAGAGTCAGAAGTAGCAAATAGAATCACAACATTCTCATAGCCCAATGCTCAAATATTTCATCATACCCATCATCCAGTAGTCATTACCGAGCTTTTACAAAAGGTAAGCCTTCCTCTTTTTTTCCCCAATAATGAATGTCTACTTTTCAAAAGTGTACTAGTTTTCAGGTTTTGGATTGATTTACCTACTTCTTTCCTGTATTTCCCAAGTATCATGGGCACAAATGAAATATTTTTTATAACATAATAAAGCTAGAACTAATATTCTAACTCTTCATTTTTTTTTTGTCATCATCATCACTAGAAAGATCAGTTTGATTTCTCAAAACATGGTAAGTAGTAATAAGAGGTTTCTCTATAATTAAAAACACTGGTTCATTATATCACTTCCTCAGAACAATAAACTTTCTTAGCTTTCAAATTGATTAAACATGTACTGACAAGCATGTCTGAACCTTTTTCAAGCCAGTAGGTTACACTATTGATATCCCCTTTATTTTCATTCTCACAGTAAAACACTTGTCAAATTGCACTAAACTTCATACACTTTCTTTGGTGTCTGGTTCACAAAATCTCATTTAGCATTTGTACCATTTTGTAGATTATGAAGTTTCCAAAATTTTTTTATAAAGATATAATTCTTCTAGTTGATTGTTTCATCAAAGTTTAAAATAACCTAAGGAATTGCTCCACTAAAATGTTATGAACATCTTATCATTTTAGTATTTTTTTTTGTAGTACAAGTTCTTAGAACCCCCTTGATATAGTTAACAGCACAATATTGACACTGTTCTCAAAAGAAAGGTTACTGATAAGTTTGTATTTACATGTTTGTAGTCAACTACTACAATTTCCAAAAAAGAATTAAACTCAATACTTCAATGGAAAATTCTAAAATTCATCTGATGTATAAAGTGGAACTTTTATAAACAATAATTTATAATGAAAGGAAGTGTTATTTTTTGGTATGCAGCATAATTTTATAGACTTAATACACTAACCATCAGCAGTTTAAATAGTCTGTAAATGTAGGTCAAAGAATTAGAACAATATTGTTGGTTTTATTATGAATTTCATGCAAAGCTACATGAGGGCTATCTGCAATAACTGTCCCTAATTTAGCAATGTAAGACTAGAGAGAAGGCAACTTGTCATCACTCACCCACCACCAACTCTTGGGCTACTCTTTTACCAACGAATAGTGGGATTGACATCACATTATAAATCCCACATGGCTGAAAGGGTGTGTTTGGTGTGACGGGAATTTGAACCCGCAACCAACAGATTGTGAGTCGAGCACCCTACCCACCTGGCCATGCCAGCCTTAAAATAATATAAATCTAAACAATATATTTCACAAACAAAGTTTCTCTTGTTTCTTTTCTAATTACACAAGATTTAATGAAATAAATCCAGTAATAATTACTAACTACCTCTAAAATAAACCTTTGATATACAACACACAAACAGTTAGAAAAAAAAAACTTACTTGACTGGTCGTATGGCATGCCGAATTTCCTCACTCTTTAACAGCCGAGACAGATCAGTATTGGACATCTTGGGCATTGGTAAGCTGGAAATAAGCAGAATTGTTCTCTTCAGTTAGTAGTATAAAAAAACAACAACATATAATAAGAAGTCAATCTTTACAAATTACATTTATTTTCACAGTTTAAAAGGATCAGAGTTGAAAATATAATCATGCCTTTCATAGCCCAATGCTCAACTAGTTTCATCACACCCAAAAACCAATTTTCATCACAAAATGTATTAAAAGTTAGTAAAAAATAAAGCTATATGCATATACTAACTTGAAATTCTTTTTTTTCTCTGATGGTTTACGCCAGGTTCCATACAAGGAATCAAGTTTGCGGAAAGCACTTTCAGTCCAGATCACAAAACGTCCCACGTGCCCACCAGGTGCAAGCTTTAGTAAATTTAATTTTTCTACATTCAAAGTTTCAATTCCTAGAAAAGAAGAGTTTTTCTTCATGTAAATTCTTTAAAGAAAAGTTGTGAATGATTATGTATATCTAATATACAAGAGTTACTTTTAAAACTATTCTAGAATGTTTGTTAACCATATGCAATCAGATGAGTAAAATAGCAAAACATGACCTTTTTTTTTTACTTGTATTCAAAAATTAAATGACTATCATCAGTAAACTTGGTGACACTTTTGTTCACAATTGCTACATGATAAGTGCCACCAATTACATGTTAACACCACAGATAGCTCTATTCTATAATGTAATAAATGACCTCCCAGCATCTTGTTTTGCTGATATATATATCAACAATTCTTTCTTACATTTGCTATTGGATCACTTATAGCCAACTGAAAGTGCAGATTCTGATTCACATGGTTCATTAAGAGGCTAGTTTGTTTAGGTGCCAAGTTAGGAAATATTTAGCTTTATTTTCATTATCTAGCCTTAAGCAGCTAAATCATAACAGTTAAGATATTCTATTTTTAGTTTGTAACAAAGTTCTGTATTTTTAGTATCTTGTAAATGCTATAAAAATTAATATTTTTAATCACCACCATCGTAAATAATAATAATAAAAAAGTGCCTCAGTCCAGATGCAAGTTCCAAGTTGTTTTTTTTTTAAATGTAGATATTTGCTATAAAAATAC